CTACCTGTCTTTAACGAACTGTTCATCTACAACAAGATCAAGACAGGACACATCGAGAAGTTCAAATTCTCCATTCTGTTTGAAGAGCTGAAGAATACTGACTCAAATCGTGCGGCCGAAATCTTTTGTAAAGTGGCTGAGAAGACAAATGACTCGGTGACGTTCGCCAATGCAGCACGATTTTGCGCCAAGAAGGAACCTCCTTCGTTTCCAAAAGCAAAGGAACTTATTCAACGTGCCTTGCAAGTTCATGGATCTTCGCCTTCAAAAGGTGGATACAAAAATTTGTGTCACACTAAAGGTGTCGTCCTCTACTTTGAACTGAAGGACATGATCCATAGAGGGGAAGTTGAGGATCTGACCAGACTGGAAGCAATGGCCTGTAAAGTTCTTCAGGCACATCGTGAAGCACGAACCTTCCCTCCAACCTACCCGCATCCTTTAATTGGCGAAGTTGACGTTTGGTTGCTGTGCATTAAATGGATCATGAACAACCTTTGCAATCACGATGCAGAAGAGACTTTGACTTTTGTGACTAATCGGTCTCCTCCCTTCTTTCGGACTTGCATAAGTGATTCTTTTCATCTCTTGGATGTTGTTGATAACATGGTCCAAAGTGTGTCTTATCTGGCAGATCCCGCGGAAACGAAACGGCTGTCTAACAAGTTGAGGTTGTCTTTGATGAAGACGTTTCGCAGACGATATGTGCCTTTAGGCAGGCTTAAAGCTGACGAAGACATTGTCCAGGCCTGCAGAGCAATTTGTACAACTAAGCATTTCCGAGAGTCATCGCAGTTGGAGCTTAAACGACTTCAAGCCCACTTCATGTTGACGAACAGCGAGCAGCCAATCGATAGTTTGAAGAAAGGAGATCTTGAGTTCCTGCTCAAACTTCTGGAAGATCTTGTTCTGAAAGAGGACGAGTATCGCTTGGCTCATCACTTGATGAAAGTCTGCATGCTGGTGACCGGAGCAAGATCTTACAGCCTTGACCAAGGTCTTCACGTCTGCGAGAAATGGTCAGTGGTCTCAACTCATGATTGCCTTCCAGATTTTTACCAGATGGTTATCTGTTTCCTACAGATTCTTGATGGCAACACACTGGAGTTTATGCCGATGTACATCAAAGCCTTGGAAAAGTGCAAAGAAAAATCTCAGAATCATTTGCGAAGATTTTATGCCACAATCTATGTAGGCAAGGAAGGAAAAGGTATGTCTCGCCTCATTAGTCGCAACAAGTTACTTGGGCAAACTGACTACTCTCCCGATAAATTTTGGCAAGTTGATAGCAGACGGAAATTGCTAGAGTGCAAAGGAAGAATTCGAGTGAAGCAATCAAGTAACCTAGGAAAGTCAACACTCTACATTGAGCTGGTGCAGGGAAATCTTGAGCTTTATGTTGGCAAGAACGCAGACATTGGCAAAGTGGAGAGGGACTTTACACCAGGGGCATTGGTGTATTTTGTTGTAAGTTTCAATCTTCAGGGACCTGTCGCGAATGGCATAACGTTTTCGCAGCAGAATCCATCAAATGAGTAAAAGAGGTACTCGTGATCACTTGCAGTTCAAGCAAGAGAAAAGCAGACTTATTCAAGTCAAAGCATTGTTTAAAATTGGCTGACCCCACCGCGTCACAAGTCCCAGTCAGTGAATACTAAACTGTACGTTTAGACGATGTTCGCCAGAACAATGCCAGCAGTACATGTGCACATGTGTAAGAATGGATTTTGACATGACTGTGATGTGGACTAACATTTGTCATCACCTTCGATATGCCCAGTGACGTTTCAAATGTAATGTATATATCTGACTATATTTCGCGTATTTCCTGCTTTTTATTAGGAAGATCGTTAGATAAAGTTGTGACTGAATTTTACATGGTATATCACCGCCAGATTGTTGTGACATAGCTTTAGCTACAGAAGTGATACTTTAATCGCCTCATTTATTTCTTTTTACTTGTATTAGAGAAAATTAGACTTATTCAAGTCAAAGCATTGTTTCAAATTGCTGACTAATGGCCCCACCGCGTCACAAGTCTTAGTCAGTGGATGCTAAACTGTACGTGGCAGGATGGACAACTGTCAGTTGACGAACATATTTTATCACTTTGATATGTCCAGAGACATTTTCAACTTATTAAGTAATGTATATATTTTATCATATTTGGCATATTTCCTGTTGTAATATACGAAGATCGTTAGACAACGTTGTGACAGAGAATTTTACATTTAATACTTTCAATTCATCGCCAGATTGTTTTGCAATAGCTATAGTTATCGAAGTGATGCTATAATCGCCATGCTTTTTACAGCAAAGTACAATGTAAAGTTTACGCAAATTGTGGAGACCAAATAAGGTTAAGAAAGCTACTTTAGACCCCTTTGATCTTTTTTCACTTGTATTAGAGAAAAGCAGACTTGTTCAAGTCAAAACATTGTTTCAAATTGGCTGAATAATGGCCCCACCGCGTCACAAGTCTTAGTCAGTGTATATTAAACTGTACGTGGCAGGATGGACAACTGTCAATTGACGAACATATTTTATCATTTTGATATGTCTAGAGACATTTTCAGCTCATTAAATATAATGTATAATTTTATTACATTTCGCATATTTCTTGTCAAATACGAAGATCGTTAGACAAAGTTGTGACAGAGAATCTACATTGCTTTCATCGTGTAATTGTTTGCAAAGACTGCATTAAGTTGACTAAGCTAGTTTGGACCATTTCGGTCTTTTCTTTTTACGTGTATGCAAAATGAATATAGTAGGAATTGGTAACAATATCGACGAACTCTCGCAGCGTTTGATTTAGAGAGGATCAGTTTATTGGATCATTTTTACTGTTTTTATTACATTTCATAGAACTTTTTGCTGTCCAACCCGGGTCTACTCGTCAATTCGTCAAAGGTATTCTTCATAATTTGGTAACAAAGCTGAAAGCAAACGAGAAAAAAACAGCAACAAACAAACCAGATGTGAAAGAAAAACAGCGAGTAGAACAAACCTTTTGTAGTTTTTCAGCGAATATTTCTAAATAAAATGCACTTTTGTTACCACTAATTATTGCATTTGTTTACTGTCTCGATAGCCTGCAAAACTGAGTTTCGTTTCAAGCCGTACTGAATCATGTGGTCGAAAAAACAAGCTAACTTTTGCATGCAGCCTCCACAAAGGAGTGAAAAAGCGGTTGTGGGAGCAATTTGTTGCTCTATGTTACAAGAAGCTGTTTCCTTTTCCAGTCACACCACGAATTTTCCACATGAAGTTGGTTCTTTTTTCCAGCCACACCACGAATTTTCCATCGATTTCTAAGTGCCGAGAAAATAAACCAGAACATTGTTTCAAATCGCTTGCTGTTCCTGACAAAGGATCGTGCGGCTACACGTAGGTAGTTAGGTTTCAATGGCACAGTGCACTGCACGTGAGTGGTGCTGATGCGACCGAAGAGCACGGGGGTATGGCAGGTTTTCTGTTTTCTTCTCTTGGAGCAACTATATTGTATTCGAGGAACTGTATTTTTGACTGTCTTGAACAGCTAGAATTTAAACGTTGCGATACGTATTTTTTTTTCTTATATTGTTTTGTTTTATAGTATAGGACCCTGCGCGCGCTCTGATTGGTCAAAAACCCATGTTTTATTTAAGAAATAGAAAACATGCACCGTGTTTCTATCGAGTTTTAATATAAATCGACTAGCGTACTATCACGAATGCCGTTCTCGATATCTGATTGGCTACGCTGCTCTCGATCACCGTGATCTATTCTGTGATAGATAGTAGCATAGTAGTGTGCCCTTGTTAACAAAACTGATGACGGCCGCTTCTTTACGTTTTCGAGGTGTCTGTGAAGAGGATTTAGATAAAGTATTGAACGACTAGTAGATTTATACTAAAACAATTAGATTATTCGGTCTCGATTTCTATGCGTGCTGAGAAATCTCGAGCTTATAATCTAATTGTTTAATAGAAACACGATTTTTAACCAATCAGTGCGCGTATTTTCCTAGGGCTCTTTTCTGATATATCATAAAGCAAATGAAGAAGCCTAAGCCGTTACACTGTGTCTGGACATTTGAGAACACTCGAGAAATGTAGAGAACACTCGCCTGCGGCTCGAATTTTCTACATTTCCCTCGTGTTCTCAAATGCCCGTCGTGTTTTATCACAGAGTAATACACGGCTTAAGCTTCTTTGTTTGTTAAATACAATTTTGCACGGAGACCAGTTGCGGAGTCATATTACAAGCCATGCTTCCTTTGGACTCCACTCACTTAGTTTACATCATAATTTAATGAGACCAGAGGCATATATAACCCCCAACTGCTGTTACTTGTAATGGTGTTATTGTGTAAGTGAAAACATAGATTGAGCGATTGATTGATTGAAGAACACAATGTGCTAAGCTCATTCTCAAGGACAGATAAACAGAGACTGATATTCACTCTTAAATAACTAGAAATAATTTTCGACTTATTTTGGGCTAAACGGTCGGATACCATCAATCGGCATCGCACACTGAGTCTGTGTCAGCAATCAGCAACATCAGTAACTGGAGTGCTTCTTTATCATCACCCATGAAAACAACGTATCAAGATACGATAGGTTTAAACTAACCTTCAATTCCACTGCACAAGGCAGTGACCGAGACAAGGGCAACTTCTAATTTTCAAAAAATTCCCACGGTAGCTTGCACTGAATCGAGGTCAGACCCAGTCTCCACTCTTGAACGCACTGACTGCGACAGCCAAACTCCCCCATGCAGCGTAAACACGGAGGTATCGTTATCTGAGTTCCTCTTTCTTTTGGACAGTTGTGAAAACTTAGACGAACTTCTCGGAAAACTCAGTTAAGCGTGACGTGAGAGAGTTCCGATGTAAACTGGATTGTTGAGTTTGTTCGTCCGCGGTCCGCGATGATTCAAACCAAGAGCTAAGACAAATCAAAACGGAAGTGAACGAAGGAAAATTAACCTGACGATGCAATTACAGGGTATGAAGTGTTTTGTTTTGTTTTGTTTTTGTCTCTTCTTATCAGGTGTTTGCTTTGTAAATGGATTTTCTTACATTTGCTGGGCTTTACAGGATTCAACACTGAACGGCTGTATGCTTATAGTCTTATGTTATATTTATAGATTCAGATTTCGTGAATATCTATTGCTGAGCGTGATGTCGTTCACGGCGGAAAGTTTAAAATTGACATAAGCTTAAATTTGCGATGGAAGCCTCAAAGAACCAAACCTCGAACAGAACGGAATTTCAATCGGCAGATGATGGCATTGACACTCAGTTATCACCTGTTACACACCAATCAGAAATAATACCCGTTGAAATTGGTCGGGAAAGTCATTCTTGTCCTGAATTGGCGAGTACGGTTGCAGCTGTAAACGCAGCCGAATTTGAGTGTGAAATCAACGATGACCCCAAGCAGAATGATCCCAGCGGCAAAAAGAAGAAGAAAAAGAAGAAGAAGAAGAAGAAAACTAATCCAGGATCCTCTGATACTACATCTGACACTATCAGGGAAAATGTTCAAGGTGATCATCCCGCAACATCGACTTGCACTGAACCGTTGTTGATACAAATGGCGGAAGTTGACAAAGAAGGTTCTTTCCAAGAATCGGCCGGTACAGTATCATCACCATTCCAAGAAGGCGAACCAGAGCGCGAGGACATTCAGGAAGGCGCCCTTTGCGGCAAAAGGAAAAAGAAGAAGAAAAAGAAGAAGAAATTAGCTTCAGAAACGGGTGATTTTGATGTTATTTCCAACTCTCCTTCAAACGACAGGGCTCCCTCACAAGCGCTTTCGTCTGACACTACAGTTCCGGAAGCGGGTGAAATCAAAGGTGATGCAACTGAAGATCCTAGAAATCAGGAGTTCACGACTACTGATGAGACCCTCTCAGAGCTGACTTCAGATCAACAAGAGCTGTTGTTGACAATCTCAACTACAAGTGATCAAAATGAAATCGGTTGCCATGGCTCAAGCATCACACCAGACTATAATGTACAAGGCGATTCCTCTAGGAAGCCCAAGAAGAAAAAGAAAAGAAAGAAAAATCAAGAGGTAGAGTACAATATTCTGTCAGACAGTGAAAGCGGTGTTGTCTTAGCGACAGGGATAACTGAAATAGAGCGGGTCAATTTGCTGCAAGTGATGCCTGAAAGAAGTTGTACAGCAGGAGTTGTGCAACAACAATCTCAAAACACAAACGATGTAGAAGCTATAACAACCCAAGCGGAAACCCAGATGTTATGTGTCCATGATGTTTCAGCCACTGCAGGCGACATAGTGGAGCCAATTAAACCTGATGAGAAGGGTTCATCTACTGGCCAGTCACTTCGTGAAGAGTAAGTTTCTTGTCAGTTTTGTTAGGCGTGAAATGGGGGAGGACATGAGGGTGGGTATTCTGATATCTTGTGAACAGCCATACTATTCTTTACTTTGTGTTTAATCCTATACAATATAGGAAGTTAACTGGTCTAATGTAATGGCTGTAAATTATATTAATAATAAGTTACATACTGACATTTTCTTTGCAATCATTTTACTGCATAAAATGTCATTATCCTTCAAGTAAGATAACAGGAAGGTTATACCCATTTGGAAGGAGGGGGCATTCTTATTCACATGATATTTCATAGATTCACTTACTTGTCAGAGCTGCTAACAATTTTTCCTGTTATTTGACATCTAATGTTTTCTTGCAATCAGTATCCTATTTTATAATTATGACTGTCTGGTAGTAACAATTCAGTAAACTGAATGATGACTTTATTTTTTGTTCTTCACAGCTCTTTCTCCGGCTACTGTCAGTGCTTGAAAAAAAAAAAATCTGTAGAGGATTACCCCACCCTGGGCTCCTTTCAGTTATACTGAGAGATGAATCAATCACCCTCTAAGCCCTAGGATCGACAGAGCAATTGTCCAAACTGATCTCCATACATTACTTGTATATCATATGGACTGTAATGTCATTTAAGGAGGCTGAAATTAAAAACAGTGTTGTTTTTTTATTATTATTTGGGGGGAGGGGTGTATAATTTGTTGAGGGAGGAATTGCAAGTCACTAGGCCCAAAATGACTGAAGGCCTTTTTTAGGAGGGAGGGGGGGGGGGTAATTTGTTTTGATGTGGTAGTAGGGGGAGTGAAATTGGGAGAAAAGAGAGCAATGAGGATATTGGAGTAGGGGAGATTACCTGCTCCTCTCCCCTCGGTAACTTTAAGAATAATGAAACTTAGGAGGTATACATAGCATGCAAAATTGCTTCCTGCTTTAAATGTAACAAATATATGAGATGATGATGTCATATCACTGATAGTTCCTACATTATGATATGCAACAGCTGCCATCTTGGATTTCTTGATTTTCCTCAAAGATGATCAAAATAAATAAAATCATGCTGAAAATTATCTTGATGTAGAAATAACAGATGGTAGTTTAATTTTGTTAATGAAAACAAAATTTCACATTTGGAAAATCATGCCTCTTTAAAAAATTCTATGGTTGGTATGGAAACATCAAGTTCCGAGCAAAATGGCATGACATTGTACCAAATTGTTCCCAGATAAATTTTAGATTTAGTTGCAAAGTTTGGCAACTTTTACTTGAATGTTAAAAAAGTTATACTTTTGAAGTCAGAACAGGCAGATGGTTTCTACCCTCCTCAATGGTCTGACCAGGGTAAAAACAGTTTTAATGTGTTTGCATTGTTTTGGTTTTCTAGGAGAAATATCTTGTGCATTTTCAAGCTTGTTTATGGAGTTGGGCTAAGATCACTTCGCAAACTGTTCATTAAAATCAATCCATCATGGTCCAATCAACCCTCTGATGCAGCAGCATTCGACAAATGGAAGATGAAGCTCAGTAAAGATGAAGAAATTAGTTTCAACAAAGGAGACATTGAGGAATGGGACTTGTCATTGATGACAACGGCACTTCTCTATTCTAAGAGTTGTGCATTGGAAATGAACAAAAGACCGGATTTAGCACGTGCCCTGAAGGAATTGAAGATCGACCGTAACAAGCTGCTGGGACACCCTTCTACAGAGAGGATGTCTGATGCTGAGTTTGACACCTTTTGGCCTCAATTGTCAAAGAACTTTGAAATTCTTGGTGCTGAGCCAGATGACATTGCAGANCATTGTTTCAAATTGGCTGAATAATGGCCCCACCGCGTCACAAGTCTTAGTCAGTGTATATTAAACTGTACGTGGCAGGATGGACAACTGTCAATTGACGAACATATTTTATCATTTTGATATGTCTAGAGACATTTTCAGCTCATTAAATATAATGTATAATTTTATTACATTTCGCATATTTCTTGTCAAATACGAAGATCGTTAGACAAAGTTGTGACAGAGAATCTACATTGCTTTCATCGTGTAATTGTTTGCAAAGACTGCATTAAGTTGACTAAGCTAGTTTGGACCATTTCGGTCTTTTCTTTTTACGTGTATGCAAAATGAATATAGTAGGAATTGGTAACAATATCGACGAACTCTCGCAGCGTTTGATTTAGAGAGGATCAGTTTATTGGATCATTTTTACTGTTTTTATTACATTTCATAGAACTTTTTGCTGTCCAACCCGGGTCTACTCGTCAATTCGTCAAAGGTATTCTTCATAATTTGGTAACAAAGCTGAAAGCAAACGAGAAAAAAACAGCAACAAACAAACCAGATGTGAAAGAAAAACAGCGAGTAGAACAAACCTTTTGTAGTTTTTCAGCGAATATTTCTAAATAAAATGCACTTTTGTTACCACTAATTATTGCATTTGTTTACTGTCTCGATAGCCTGCAAAACTGAGTTTCGTTTCAAGCCGTACTGAATCATGTGGTCGAAAAAACAAGCTAACTTTTGCATGCAGCCTCCACAAAGGAGTGAAAAAGCGGTTGTGGGAGCAATTTGTTGCTCTATGTTACAAGAAGCTGTTTCCTTTTCCAGTCACACCACGAATTTTCCACATGAAGTTGGTTCTTTTTTCCAGCCACACCACGAATTTTCCATCGATTTCTAAGTGCCGAGAAAATAAACCAGAACATTGTTTCAAATCGCTTGCTGTTCCTGACAAAGGATCGTGCGGCTACACGTAGGTAGTTAGGTTTCAATGGCACAGTGCACTGCACGTGAGTGGTGCTGATGCGACCGAAGAGCACGGGGGTATGGCAGGTTTTCTGTTTTCTTCTCTTGGAGCAACTATATTGTATTCGAGGAACTGTATTTTTGACTGTCTTGAACAGCTAGAATTTAAACGTTGCGATACGTATTTTTTTTTCTTATATTGTTTTGTTTTATAGTATAGGACCCTGCGCGCGCTCTGATTGGTCAAAAACCCATGTTTTATTTAAGAAATAGAAAACATGCACCGTGTTTCTATCGAGTTTTAATATAAATCGACTAGCGTACTATCACGAATGCCGTTCTCGATATCTGATTGGCTACGCTGCTCTCGATCACCGTGATCTATTCTGTGATAGATAGTAGCATAGTAGTGTGCCCTTGTTAACAAAACTGATGACGGCCGCTTCTTTACGTTTTCGAGGTGTCTGTGAAGAGGATTTAGATAAAGTATTGAACGACTAGTAGATTTATACTAAAACAATTAGATTATTCGGTCTCGATTTCTATGCGTGCTGAGAAATCTCGAGCTTATAATCTAATTGTTTAATAGAAACACGATTTTTAACCAATCAGTGCGCGTATTTTCCTAGGGCTCTTTTCTGATATATCATAAAGCAAATGAAGAAGCCTAAGCCGTTACACTGTGTCTGGACATTTGAGAACACTCGAGAAATGTAGAGAACACTCGCCTGCGGCTCGAATTTTCTACATTTCCCTCGTGTTCTCAAATGCCCGTCGTGTTTTATCACAGAGTAATACACGGCTTAAGCTTCTTTGTTTGTTAAATACAATTTTGCACGGAGACCAGTTGCGGAGTCATATTACAAGCCATGCTTCCTTTGGACTCCACTCACTTAGTTTACATCATAATTTAATGAGACCAGAGGCATATATAACCCCCAACTGCTGTTACTTGTAATGGTGTTATTGTGTAAGTGAAAACATAGATTGAGCGATTGATTGATTGAAGAACACAATGTGCTAAGCTCATTCTCAAGGACAGATAAACAGAGACTGATATTCACTCTTAAATAACTAGAAATAATTTTCGACTTATTTTGGGCTAAACGGTCGGATACCATCAATCGGCATCGCACACTGAGTCTGTGTCAGCAATCAGCAACATCAGTAACTGGAGTGCTTCTTTATCATCACCCATGAAAACAACGTATCAAGATACGATAGGTTTAAACTAACCTTCAATTCCACTGCACAAGGCAGTGACCGAGACAAGGGCAACTTCTAATTTTCAAAAAATTCCCACGGTAGCTTGCACTGAATCGAGGTCAGACCCAGTCTCCACTCTTGAACGCACTGACTGCGACAGCCAAACTCCCCCATGCAGCGTAAACACGGAGGTATCGTTATCTGAGTTCCTCTTTCTTTTGGACAGTTGTGAAAACTTAGACGAACTTCTCGGAAAACTCAGTTAAGCGTGACGTGAGAGAGTTCCGATGTAAACTGGATTGTTGAGTTTGTTCGTCCGCGGTCCGCGATGATTCAAACCAAGAGCTAAGACAAATCAAAACGGAAGTGAACGAAGGAAAATTAACCTGACGATGCAATTACAGGGTATGAAGTGTTTTGTTTTGTTTTGTTTTTGTCTCTTCTTATCAGGTGTTTGCTTTGTAAATGGATTTTCTTACATTTGCTGGGCTTTACAGGATTCAACACTGAACGGCTGTATGCTTATAGTCTTATGTTATATTTATAGATTCAGATTTCGTGAATATCTATTGCTGAGCGTGATGTCGTTCACGGCGGAAAGTTTAAAATTGACATAAGCTTAAATTTGCGATGGAAGCCTCAAAGAACCAAACCTCGAACAGAACGGAATTTCAATCGGCAGATGATGGCATTGACACTCAGTTATCACCTGTTACACACCAATCAGAAATAATACCCGTTGAAATTGGTCGGGAAAGTCATTCTTGTCCTGAATTGGCGAGTACGGTTGCAGCTGTAAACGCAGCCGAATTTGAGTGTGAAATCAACGATGACCCCAAGCAGAATGATCCCAGCGGCAAAAAGAAGAAGAAAAAGAAGAAGAAGAAGAAGAAAACTAATCCAGGATCCTCTGATACTACATCTGACACTATCAGGGAAAATGTTCAAGGTGATCATCCCGCAACATCGACTTGCACTGAACCGTTGTTGATACAAATGGCGGAAGTTGACAAAGAAGGTTCTTTCCAAGAATCGGCCGGTACAGTATCATCACCATTCCAAGAAGGCGAACCAGAGCGCGAGGACATTCAGGAAGGCGCCCTTTGCGGCAAAAGGAAAAAGAAGAAGAAAAAGAAGAAGAAATTAGCTTCAGAAACGGGTGATTTTGATGTTATTTCCAACTCTCCTTCAAACGACAGGGCTCCCTCACAAGCGCTTTCGTCTGACACTACAGTTCCGGAAGCGGGTGAAATCAAAGGTGATGCAACTGAAGATCCTAGAAATCAGGAGTTCACGACTACTGATGAGACCCTCTCAGAGCTGACTTCAGATCAACAAGAGCTGTTGTTGACAATCTCAACTACAAGTGATCAAAATGAAATCGGTTGCCATGGCTCAAGCATCACACCAGACTATAATGTACAAGGCGATTCCTCTAGGAAGCCCAAGAAGAAAAAGAAAAGAAAGAAAAATCAAGAGGTAGAGTACAATATTCTGTCAGACAGTGAAAGCGGTGTTGTCTTAGCGACAGGGATAACTGAAATAGAGCGGGTCAATTTGCTGCAAGTGATGCCTGAAAGAAGTTGTACAGCAGGAGTTGTGCAACAACAATCTCAAAACACAAACGATGTAGAAGCTATAACAACCCAAGCGGAAACCCAGATGTTATGTGTCCATGATGTTTCAGCCACTGCAGGCGACATAGTGGAGCCAATTAAACCTGATGAGAAGGGTTCATCTACTGGCCAGTCACTTCGTGAAGAGTAAGTTTCTTGTCAGTTTTGTTAGGCGTGAAATGGGGGAGGACATGAGGGTGGGTATTCTGATATCTTGTGAACAGCCATACTATTCTTTACTTTGTGTTTAATCCTATACAATATAGGAAGTTAACTGGTCTAATGTAATGGCTGTAAATTATATTAATAATAAGTTACATACTGACATTTTCTTTGCAATCATTTTACTGCATAAAATGTCATTATCCTTCAAGTAAGATAACAGGAAGGTTATACCCATTTGGAAGGAGGGGGCATTCTTATTCACATGATATTTCATAGATTCACTTACTTGTCAGAGCTGCTAACAATTTTTCCTGTTATTTGACATCTAATGTTTTCTTGCAATCAGTATCCTATTTTATAATTATGACTGTCTGGTAGTAACAATTCAGTAAACTGAATGATGACTTTATTTTTTGTTCTTCACAGCTCTTTCTCCGGCTACTGTCAGTGCTTGAAAAAAAAAAAATCTGTAGAGGATTACCCCACCCTGGGCTCCTTTCAGTTATACTGAGAGATGAATCAATCACCCTCTAAGCCCTAGGATCGACAGAGCAATTGTCCAAACTGATCTCCATACATTACTTGTATATCATATGGACTGTAATGTCATTTAAGGAGGCTGAAATTAAAAACAGTGTTGTTTTTTTATTATTATTTGGGGGGAGGGGTGTATAATTTGTTGAGGGAGGAATTGCAAGTCACTAGGCCCAAAATGACTGAAGGCCTTTTTTAGGAGGGAGGGGGGGGGGGTAATTTGTTTTGATGTGGTAGTAGGGGGAGTGAAATTGGGAGAAAAGAGAGCAATGAGGATATTGGAGTAGGGGAGATTACCTGCTCCTCTCCCCTCGGTAACTTTAAGAATAATGAAACTTAGGAGGTATACATAGCATGCAAAATTGCTTCCTGCTTTAAATGTAACAAATATATGAGATGATGATGTCATATCACTGATAGTTCCTACATTATGATATGCAACAGCTGCCATCTTGGATTTCTTGATTTTCCTCAAAGATGATCAAAATAAATAAAATCATGCTGAAAATTATCTTGATGTAGAAATAACAGATGGTAGTTTAATTTTGTTAATGAAAACAAAATTTCACATTTGGAAAATCATGCCTCTTTAAAAAATTCTATGGTTGGTATGGAAACATCAAGTTCCGAGCAAAATGGCATGACATTGTACCAAATTGTTCCCAGATAAATTTTAGATTTAGTTGCAAAGTTTGGCAACTTTTACTTGAATGTTAAAAAAGTTATACTTTTGAAGTCAGAACAGGCAGATGGTTTCTACCCTCCTCAATGGTCTGACCAGGGTAAAAACAGTTTTAATGTGTTTGCATTGTTTTGGTTTTCTAGGAGAAATATCTTGTGCATTTTCAAGCTTGTTTATGGAGTTGGGCTAAGATCACTTCGCAAACTGTTCATTAAAATCAATCCATCATGGTCCAATCAACCCTCTGATGCAGCAGCATTCGACAAATGGAAGATGAAGCTCAGTAAAGATGAAGAAATTAGTTTCAACAAAGGAGACATTGAGGAATGGGACTTGTCATTGATGACAACGGCACTTCTCTATTCTAAGAGTTGTGCATTGGAAATGAACAAAAGACCGGATTTAGCACGTGCCCTGAAGGAATTGAAGATCGACCGTAACAAGCTGCTGGGACACCCTTCTACAGAGAGGATGTCTGATGCTGAGTTTGACACCTTTTGGCCTCAATTGTCAAAGAACTTTGAAATTCTTGGTGCTGAGCCAGATGACATTGCAGAAATAATGCTCCAGCCAGGTACCCACTGTAAATAAGGTTAGATAAAGTACTGCGCGCCCATGGGGAAGTTGAAATTCAAGTTCCTCCCGTCGATTGGAAGTATTTTTCTTTTGACTCAACTAGGAAGGATCTGGTAAAAATCGCCCCTGTTATCCATCTTACTGAGTACGAGCTTTGGACGTTTGACTCGGAGTGTAAAACAGGTGATATCGCGCTTTTAGAATTGACTGATCCTGCACAGGAACCCATCACTGGGAGCGTGCAACTACCCCATGCATATTCCTGTGACGTCGCTTTCGCAGGCCGATCTATTTTTGGTTTAAATTTGCCGCGAATTCAGATCTCCGTAGGATCCTCAGTGACCAATCACAAGCACGGACTTAATTTTTAATTGACGTCATCATTTCACTGGAAGATTAAAAAGAAAAACCGCCATTTTTTTCCTTACCGATGCGCGTTCATGTATACCGGAACTGACCTATTTCGCGGGTAAAAAAGCCTAAAAATAGACCGGTCGATCTGTAAAAATGCCGTGACGTAGGCTTAGTATGGGGGTTGCATGCTACTAGTGATAGGCTCCTGGCCTGCAGGTTTCCGTCATCGAAGTTGCTGGTTTTAACTTTAAAAGCAGCACTACAGTACGTTTGCATATAATGTCAATAATTCTCTCAACTGCTGACACTGACTTTTTGATTGGACAAAATGAGAATCGGAATACTTTAAGCGTTCCGAAGGAAATTTTCGCCCAGAACGGCACTTGCTCCCCTGAATGGGGAATAAAAGTCGGACTGATGTGCTTGTGGGCCGTATAGATTATAACGAAGTCCAATGTAGAAATGATCCACTTTGTGTTTTCAAAATCAGATACAGATGATAACTCGAATTTAGGGTGCGTTCCTTTGGGGTGATCTGGATCAGGATCAGTGATCCAAGGTCACTCGGATCATGTTACATCAAAGAAGCCAATGAATCCGTGACAAGAGTGGATTCATCAGTTCCTTTGATACACCATGATCCGAGTGATCTTGGATCACTGACCCTGATCCGGATCACCCCAAAGGAACGCACCCTTAGAGGATTACGGTAAATATATGAGTAGAAGACAACAATATCCCTCCCATGCCCCAGGGCTTGAAATCATTTCCGAGCCTTTTCTGTACCATATTTTTTAATTGTGGATGTGCCCTCTTTAGATGAAGTGCTCTATTCTGGACATTATTACAAGCAGCTGTTCTTGTCAGAACGAGAACACGTTTGCGGCTGTGGTGAAAGGAAGCTGCAAGAAATGGATAGCAAACTGGATATCATAATTGCAAATCAGCTACCTGCCACTGTTGTCAAGGCTCCTATTAGCCCCAGAGACCTAAGTGGACCCAACTGGGATGAATGGCTGAAATTCTGTGACATGGTCGGGGATTTTGAATCACACCAGAATCAGTACATCCTTGTTACAGACTCCCTCCCTCCTGAAGAGCTTGAGTGCTTTTCTATTTTAAGAGGTGTGTCATGGAAGATGATCTTGGACTTCGATCCGATGTCAGAAGAGGAAGGGTTCTATCGCGAATTCACATCGAAGGAAGGTCAAAGTAACTTGGTCAGCATGATAACACCAGCAGAGTTGCGTAAAAGTTCCATGGGAAGTCTTCTGCGTCAGATCGATCCACAAAAAACGCAGTGGCTTTTTGTCAACGGAAGGTACAGTGACACGGAGGGAAGTGCACAGTCACCTCCGGATTGGGAGGCTACCTCAGTCAAGCACATCAGCAGGTTGTTTGGATGCTGTTCTGACCCCGACAAATTTGACAAGCAGAAACCAGTTGTGTGTGTCATCCTTCCATTTCGCCAGAAGAGCCAGCCGTACTTGGAAGTGACTTTAAGTCGTCTCATCGAGAACTTTGATGAGTTCAAGCTGCGTTTCGTTTCCTTTAAACACAAGCATTCCCATCTTATTTCAAGAAAGTTTAAGGTGAGACACTTTGATTTAAGCCCGAAACTTGTCAGTCTAGGGCTGTCAGAAATGCTTACTGCGTCAGCAACGCCAGAATATCGCATGCCCTCTTCACACTCTGGCGTCCCTGCAAAGCTGAGTCAGAATGACTTTCTTTATCTCAAGGAACACCTTCAAATCCTTTATGACGGATGTGAAGATCTCCCAGAATACTCAAATGATCCAGCCGAGTTAGCAAATTTCTTTGAAGAACACAGGAAGTCCTTCATTTCAGGGAATCAAATTTCCTTCGTAAGCCTGTACGACAACCATGATGCAAAAAGAGAAATCGAGGGAGATATTCGAAGCCATGTTCACCGTCTTCTCGATCAAGGATTGACGCGGTCTGTGATTGTGGAAATCAGGCACTCACCGGGAACAGGTGGCTCCACCATCGCGCGTCGCGTCATGTGGGATCTTCACAAGACCTATCCTTGTGCACTTTTGAACATATCGAGTTCTCGCCACTACTTTGATGAAGACAACACCCTTTCCGACAAATTTGCCAACCGCATAACAGCATTGGAAGAAATATGCCACACGTCTCCAGTGATCCTAATTGACGGAAAGCATTCAGGCTTGATCGAAGGTCTATCAAACAAGCTTGTAAGGATGCTAGGCAACAAAGGCAAACGAGCTCTGCTACTGCGCTGTCAACATGGATCAAAGACCACCAAGCGAGTCAGCCAGGACTCGTCTTCTCACGTGCATCACGTATTTGATGTCAACGTCAAGCTAGAGGACTCGATTGCAGATCTCAACGAATTCCAGTCTAAGTACAGGGAATACATTGTGCAGTCGTTGGGTGAAAACCAAACACCAAACCTCTGCCGTGTTTTTCACTTTCCGCTGCTTGCCATGATGGAAGAGTTTCGACCCAAGCTCAAGAAGATAATCGAGGACACTCTTGACGAAATGGGAGGCATACAGCAAGAGATGGCAATGGTAGTCGCGTTCTTGCAGAAATACGCGAATCATCCCACACCTGCTTTCCTTCTGTATGAAGCCTTTAAGGGGTACATCCGCATTTCAGGTGATAAACCCACTACCTATGAAGGTATCAAGCTGCTGTTCACAGAGCACTTGCTTAACCTGATGGTGCCCACAGATCCACTAAGACGCAGGGGGAGATCAGTTGCGGTTAAGGAGACACCACCCGAAAGCTACACTCTTCAGCATCCGTTGGTTGCAGATTTGGTGTTGAAAAAGGTTTTCCAAATTCAGGAATGTAATCTTTTTGGGGTGGTGACCAAGTTCCTTCAGTTTCCTATCTACCAACATGAATGCTTCTTGCCCCTTTTTGAAGAACTGTTTCTTCACAACAAGTATGGACAGAAAATCAAATTTTCCATACTGTTTGAAGACCTTAAGCGCCTTGATCCAGAGCACGCAGCAAGGATTTTCTCTGAGGCAGCTGTGAAGACCAATGATGCCGCTGTATTTGCCAACGCAGCAAGATTTCTTGCAAAGAAGGAGCCTCCATCGTTTTCAGAGGCAAAAGATCTTATTCAGCGAGCATTCCAAGCCAAAACGTCTAAGGTGAGATGGCGGAGCCTGTATCACACCAAAGGAGTCGTTCTGTTCCATGAAATGAAGAGCGAGATCCATTCTGGAAAGGTGAAAGATCTGCAAAGGCTTGAAGAGCTGGCCAGCGAGGTTCTTAAGGCGCACCATGAAGCACGCAATTTTCCTCCAACTTACCCCCATCCTTTGATTGGCGAGGTTGACGTTTGGCTGGCTTGTATTGACTGGATCATGAAGAATTGTTGCAATCGTGATTCCGACAAGACCTTGAAGTTCCTTACCAACCGTTCCCCACCTTTCTTTCGCACCTGTGTCAGTGATTCATTCAATCTACTTGACATTGTGGATGGAATCTGCCAGAGTGTGCCTAACCTTACAGATCCCGAGGAAACCCAGAGGCTTAGTAACACTGCCCGATTGTCTCTGCTGAAGACCTTTAAACAAGGGCTTTCAGTAACTGGACGAAGACGTGATGCAGACGATTTACTTCAAGCCTGTAAGGCAATTTGCAGTGCTCCAAACTTTCCAAGATCTTCGCAAGTGGAGCTCAAGAAACTCCAGGCTCACTTCATCCTGAGTGCAAGTGATCCAATCGACATATTAAACCATGAAAACCTTGAGTATTTACTGAAGCTCCTGGAAGAACTGGTGTTGGGTGAGAATGAATACAGGCTGGCGTACCATCTGATGAAGGTGTGCGTGCTGGTGACTGGCCCAAGATGCTACAGTCTCGAGCAAGGTCTTACTGTGAGCGAGAAGTGGCGTGATGTTTCTTCTAACGACTGCCTCCCTTATTTCTACCAGATGACCATCTACTTCTTGAAGATCCTTGACGGAAACTCGCTCGAATTCGCGTCGAAGTACACCAAAGCATTGAGAATGTGTCAAGAAAAATCTCAGAATCATTTTCGCAGTACGCAGTCAACGTTGTTTGTGGGCAAAGGTGGACAAGGGATGTCCCGTCTCATTACCCGCAACACCCTGTTCCGAGGGGAAACTGACTACGCCACAGATGATTCCGATAAAGTGTCAAAGTTCTGGCGAGTTGACAGTCGTAAAAAGTTGCTGGAATGCAAGGGACGGATACGAGTGTCCGAGCAGTCTTTCTCGCGTGGGAAGATCCATCCCTACATTGAACTTGTGCAAGGAAATCTGCAGCTCTATGTTGGCAAAAATGCAAACATTGGCAAAGTAGAAAGGGACTTTCCCGCTGGAGCTTTGGTATATTTCGTCGTGAGTTTCAACCTCCATGGCCCTGTTGCCAATGGAATAACCTTCTCGCCTCAAGAACTAACTCATGGCTAACAGAGAGTCTTAAATTGAAAAAACTTGAACTCTTGCATGAACAAGCTTACGTCTGATCCCCTGTTAACAGGAAATTAGAAATGCTTAAGTACCTGTAATTTGAGTTCAATTTCGAAGACTGATTTTCGTTTTATTTTACCAATAGTTTAACGAAACTGCGTTTTTTTAAAAGCAGTTTCACTATGTGTCATGTAAGCTCATATAGTTTGATAAAAGAAGCAATTGAAGAGTATTTTATTAGGCTTTGACGCACTGATTTTAGTTTTCTAATTTAAAGAGTAGCAGATGCTTTTCCTTTAAAAGAGAGGGAGAGAGAGAAAAAAAAAAATCCAATACAAAAACAAAATAAAACGAAAACAAATTGAAATGTACAAAAAAATATATATATAGAGAGAGAATGGCATTTTGTATAGCTCTAGAGATTTGCGTAGCAGTCAAGTATTATGATTTTTGTTTTCGCTATTTATTTATTTATTTATTTATTTATTTATTTATTTATTTATTTTTTCATTGTTTTCCAGTTGTAGTGAGGATTTTACTTACTTACTTACCTTTCCTGTCCGGGCTCATGAGGACTCTTGAGGCCAGAATGAGGATTTTAGGCAAACATTAATGAACGGGCATATGAGACTTTTTAATATTGTGTGTAATTTAATCATTCTGAGTTGAGAAGACGGCAAAATGATCATGATACATAACGCAGCACTGTGGGTAATAAAATCGGTGTAAACAGGTGAAAGACCATGTGAATAATCTATAATCCCAGGCAGCTGAAGCCGCCTCTCCAATGACCAGGTTCCAGTTATACCTCTCAAGGGATCGTTTCACGGTTCGGCGCATGTCCAAGCCTTGGCGTGAGCGTAGAGTACCTTTTCTGACTGACCACATGTAGTGCAGGCAGTCAAAAAGAATTGGACTTTCTTGGCCCATACGCGCCCGCGCACAAGTCAGTGGTGTTACGCAAGAGAACAAAATGGCGGTCAAGTCTTGCTGTACTTGTAAGATTGGACCTTCTATTTTAAATGCCGATCTTTCGTGCTTGGCAGATGAATGCCACAAGCTGCTAGAATGTGGCGCCGACTACTTGCATCTGGACGTAATGGACGGGTAAGTACCTAAAATATCGCATGGACAAAGCGAACAAGTCGAGCAGATTAGGTTTGTTCGTGATCACGTGCAAAACAAACTTTACGATATGTACCATCTTGGTTTATGTTTCATCAGTTTTCGAATAAATGACATTAAAGCTGAAATCTTATTGCTTATAAATTTATGCACAATAGTCCTGGTGGGGGACATTTCTTCAGAGCCAAGTTATATATATGAGAAACGTTTCAAAATTATTAAAGCTTAAATTAAATTTTTTGAACTTCTACAAGCAAGTACAGTTTCATAGTAATCACACAATTTTATACTTGAGCTTATAGCTCTAGTTTACGAGTTCTGTGCGAGAAAACTGTACTCGTTTTGAGATAAGGAATGAGTTGAGCACTGGCCTCCAACTGACCGTAGTTAATAAGACTTTTCATTGTTGGTAAATAAATAATTTTTATTTTGTGTAGCCATTTTGTGCCAAATTTGACATTTGGGGCACCCTTGGTGAAGTGCTTGCGGAAAAAGGTCCCTAATGCATTTTTTGGTGAGTTAAAAAAATTGTTGACAAAGTTTCATTTGATAAAATTTCACTTTGCCACAAGCGTAATTTTATAGTATCCCTGTAATTTATGCGACATATGTGATGCATGTGAATGTATGTTTTGTGTGATTAAAATGCTTCATATTACTTTCCTTGAGATAATTAGTAGCACACCATATTGTTTCTTATTGCATGAAAATGGTTGAATTTTCAGATATGCACATGATGGTTGCAAATCCAGAGAAGGTAAGGAAGCATGTTGAAAATATTTTATTTTGGTTTTGTTCAGTGATTTTGTGCCCTCTTTTTAGGCTCAAAAAGACATACCTCCATAAATTCCTAGCATCACTGCATCTATTTGTTTTTTGAAACTTGGAAAAAAATACGAAAAAGGAAATAAGACAGTGTAAAATTAAAGTACTTTTTTTGCTTTAACCAGCGATGTAGTTATTCAGACGTTTTTGTTGTGTTCAGTGGGTAGATGATATAGCTGATGCCGGGGCAGACCAGTACACTTTTCACTTGGAAGCAACAGGTAAGAGCAAGTCAGAATAGATGTTGACCGTAGAGTGCCATATGGCACTCTCGTGGCTTTATCAAGGGATAATTTTCATGCCTACAGGTGCAAACATTCAGATGACTTGTGCAAAACAGAGTGAAGAATCCCAACAGCAGTATTACTACAAGACAGTAGGGACATGGCTGCATGTGAGAGCGAACTGCAAGCTATTTTCACCAGCTGATATTTCACCAGCAAACAAAGACCTGGTGCAGCTGGAGAAGTCTTGAAGGTGCACAGGCCAGTAAAGTTGGCTGGGCTTGTTTATGAGTCTGTTTAGGTTTTTCCTAGCTACTTCTCCAAGATGCAAGACTCACGACTGTCATATGCAAACAGTTTCTCTGTAACTGGTAATCTTGACTTTGGTAGTAGTATTAGCTGAACAAAATGATGATATCCGATGCTTTTTCTTTTAGATAAGCCAGTAGACTTGATAAACCAAATCAAGAAAGCAGGAATGAAGGTAAACAACTTACTTATTGACTTGTTACAGAACTGTTAAATTTTTGCACTTAATAAACCTTAGTTTGTTTTCCCACCTTACCTGTTACAAAGTTTACATGGGCATTGATGGCTGTATTTTACTGCCTTCAAGGTTGGTATAGGCATCAAACCCAACACACCAGTGGAGTCTGTTTTACCATTTGTGGAGCTAGTGGATATGGTTCTTATAATGACTGTCGAGCCAGGATTTGGTGGTCAAAAATTCATGGCGGACATGATGCCAAAGGTATATTACCACTGACAATATTTAGACCCTTTGAATCATAAATGGCTGCCAAATAGGGATTCTTTTGTAAGTATTGAAATTAGCCTTTTACTTTAGAACTTCATTTTTAAGTTGATAATTCAAAAGAATATTCACTCTCAAACAAGGTTAGGGAAGCTAATTTAAATGCATACAAAAGAAGTTTAAGATGGCAGCTATTATGAAAAGGGTCTATAGGTTGTTGAAAGCAATTGGGACTGTTTGTTTTGCCGTACACTTCTTTGTCAACATACCATTTCCTATTTTCATTACTGAGTGAAGACTAAATTCGGTTCATTTTACATTTACTAAGGTTAAATATCTACGTACCAAGTACAAAGTTTTGGATATTGAAGTAGATGGAGGAGTGGGAATCCCAACTATTGAAGCAGCTGCTCAGGTACCTTTATGATACAACTCTGTGGTAATGCAGTGGCCTTATAGTTAGCATGCTGGACTCTGTATCAAGTGATCTGTGTTGGCCTGGGTCATTACGTTGTGTTCGTGGGCAAGACACTTAACTCTCACAGAGCCTCTCTCCATCCAGGTGTATAAATGGGTACTGGCGAATTTAATGCTGTGGGTAACCCTGTGATGGACTAGCATCCCATCCAGGGGGAAGTAGAAATACTCCTAGTCGCTTCATGCCACAAAAACCAGGATAAGTTCTAGCTGTATGGATCACTTGGCCTGATACAGACTTTGTCCTACCATACCTTCTGTTGACATTATAGAATATCAAACAGGCAAATCTAAGTCAGGGCCAAGTTGTTCAAAAGCAGGTTAACTTGTATAAAAACGTTTTTTACCTCTTATGTTTTGTGTTGCCTGAGATTATTCAAACTCAAAACTGAAGGACAAACAATTTACAGAAAACCTCACCAGAGTTGCAAAACTGAAATTCAAAATTCTTGCTAATCCTGGGTTAGCTTAATCAAGCTTTGAACAACGTGGCCCAGGGTGTTAAGGTTTATAGCCACTTCAACTGTTAACCAGCCACCTGTAACATTGCTATTTATGAAAAATTATTCCATCTTTCTCTTTTCCACCTCTTTATTTTTGTGCTTAACTATGGATGCATTTAAGGTCTGCCTTTTAAAGATCAGATTTATTTTTCAGGCTGGTGCCAACATGATTGTCTCTGGTAGCGCTGTTGTCAAGAGTGATAAACCAAAGGAGGTGATCGATTCCTTAAGAGCGACAACTGAAAAGTGGATTAAGATAAATTTTGAAGCAAGTCAATGGCCGTTTTCATAGTAAAGACGCATGATCCATCTGGACGAACTTGGACAAACTTTTGTAGTTCATCTGGTTATGCGTCTCTAGTGTAAAGATGCGCACAAAACATATTTTGCGTCAAGACAAACTCTCTCTCGTAGTGCGACGTTCAAGATGCATTTTGAGGGATAGTTCGTCTACACATATAATGCGTCTTGTGTCCATCTATACTAATACACTAAAGACGCATAACCAGACGCCCATGTTTGTTCAGACGGAGAATGCGTCTTTAGTATTAAAACGGTGAGGATGCATTATCCTTCTGGACGGATAATGCGTCCTCTACTTTAAAAACAGCCAATGGACACAGGGAATCAACTTCACTAGGGTTATCTTTATCCGATGTCAAATTTAGCTGACAGTCATCACAGTTGTATATAATAAATACAGGTAGTACTAATTTCTAACAATGAAATTAAATGGAAGATTCTGGAACATCCAGGTTTGAAGTGACTTAAACATTTCAACTTGTTTTTTCAAAACATTAAAAGTACTTTGATCTTGGTGCTACATGAAAACAAGAGCCAAGAAAAAAAATTGTTTTGTTTTGTTTTCTTTTTTGTTTGAAAAACAAACCAATTTAAAAAGTGGTTTGACAGAGCATAAGTTACATCTCAAATGTTGTTAAAAAATTGCAGTGTATGGTCTGCAAATTCACAGCTTCCTAAAGGTAGAGCCAAGTTTGCAACTGTTGAGGAAGCAATTTGTTTCGCAAAGAGTTTACCCCTTTAGGACTTCATTTTATGCAGTGCAGTGATTTGTAAAGTTATCCTGCAAATAATACTCAACTGTTAGTTACACTTAAATACTACACAGTGTAATAGCAGCTCAATTTTAGTCTCGCAGTTCTGGAGCTAACAGTAAATGAGCTTTGGATAGAATTTCGTTTAAAGAATTATTTTGACTTTTAATTTCATAAAAAGGGAACCTGCACCAAATGCCAAAAAACAACCAAGTTTTGAAATAATTGCTTTTTCAAATAACTACAGCTTGAACAAACATCAAACAACAAGTTGTTTATATTACTTTATATTGTTTATTATTTACTCCAGCAGTTCACATATAACTACCTCTACAAAATGTGCACAAAATTATTTAATACCCAAACAATGCTACATGTATTTTTTTATTGTGACTGGAAAATTTGCAGCCACTTGTCTCTTCCAGAGCATGAGCAGATATAATAGTTCCAAATTCTGCATTCAATTAAAATATATTAAAATGCCATTGTTTACAATAACTACCAGTTAAGTGCGCAATTATTTTTTTGTTGTACAAGAAAGGTAAGCCGTTAGAATTCATTCCTTCCATTTTAGCAAATTTAATTAATACATGTAAAGCACTGGTGGAGATTTTGTTGAATATTTTAACACTTCCACACAACCTCTGATTGCTTTTAAATACTTAGCATTTAACACCAATACATGTCTTTACAGGTGAAAAATACCTACTCGCCATATAAATTAGTAATAAAAACGTTTTACTTGAAGGCTGGTCATTTCTTGTTTAACGTAGAACTCATAACGGTTTATAATTTACAAACAAAAAATACTTTTTTTCTTATACATACAGTAGTTACGGCACGTGTACCAAAGAATGAAAATAGAGGAATGACTGCATTGGATTACATTGAATCAAACTTAACATCAGAGCTGAATAAAGGTCAGCTTTTGAAAACCAGTTTGGCAAGATGAAGGAAGTGAATGAAAATAAATTTAAAGGAAAACATAATATGGAACAAAAGAGTTATGTCTGGTGTCCAACTTAACAATTAGTTAAAAATTACCTTTAAGGGAGGCAAGAGTTACAGAACTATGATGCTCTTGCTCAAATCTGATAATTTAATCACTGGTCTGGACTGCATATTGTTTTCTCTCAAATCTTCATCACAGATTTATATTTTTCAGATTATTTATTTTTCCCACTATATGTGCTACTGTAAACTGTTGCTTCCTCACTAATCCACTGCTCTGGCCTTTTAACTCCACAAATTGGTTTACTTTTTCAGTCATCATCTTCCTTTTTCTCATCACGCAACATGTACCTAAAAATTGTTACAAAAATGACCACACTTCAGAAGTTGATGCTGACAATTTTTTTTTTTTTGCCACTAGATACAAACAGTTCATTTTTAATTGATCTAAATATTAAATGGTTTGTCACTAATAGATGCTCTTCCAGCCAATCCATTTCAAAATGACCTTTTGTATGGCAGTAAGTTTTTAATACTGTCCCAAAGGATTATGTTTTAAATCAATGATTGTCTTAAGCCTTTGCTTGAATTTTTTAGACCCTGGACAGTTACTCATCAGACAAAAATTGCCCCCAGTCTACAGGTAAATTCTGCCAATAACAAGCCTGGGTAAAGAGCCCAGAACCAGTTAAGATTTTGGAGATCACTTCCATTAAATGCATTCTCCACTACAACTCCTTTTAATTTTACCTGTAGTTCATTTGCTCATTACAAAAATGAATAATTCTTACCAGTCAGTAATGGCCTTTGACAAATCCAGCTTACCAAGGTCAAGCAGAACCTAACAAACAATAACACTGTTAACATGGTAGTCAACACATGTACAAATCCTTTTCTTGCCAATATGTTTCTCTTATCATTAACTTTCACAAGTTGACTCTTCACTTTTAGATTTTGTAGCCTTTCATTGGCATTTGAGGCATAAGAATACCCTCTCCTCCGGATGCTCCCTCGCCAAAAAACAATAGCTTTGTTGTGTCCAGGTCAACAACAATAAGTACTAAGGATTGGAAAATTTTCCTTCCCTTGCCTTCCTCATTAGGCACCCTTTCTAATTTGCCACCTTTTTCATGTCCTGAAAATGACCCTCTGGGGGAGTGGAAGAAATGCAATCTTAATTTTAAATCTTGCCTTACTTTGTATTACTCTAAGGAGGAAGGGGGGGTGGGGGGGTGGGGAGTGGTAGTCACACCAGGAGCCTGTTCATCAACAGCCTTTGGAACACTGGTCAGGGTATCAAGCAATTCATCAGTCCCATAAATGTCTTTTAAAAGCCACAAAATATAGATTCTCTTGCTTTGAGTGAAGATTTTGAGCATTTAGCAGTTTATCTACCAAACTGGAAATTCGTACTGTACATGATACACCATTACTGCCAATACCTGGCCCATAGAAGTCTTGCTCTTTGAAAAGAATGAAACATCATTCTTAACAGTGATATCTAGCGTACGCTCTTTCAGCTGGTCCTCTGGAACAAACCAGTCAAACCTAAAGCATGGATGCCAAATAAAATGTAGGTCAAAATTGAGCTACTGAAAAACAGCTCAAAGGAATGACATGCTCACTAAAAAGTGGCATGCCGTAGGCCTCTGCACCTCTGGTATGAAAGTCTCAGCCACGAAAATGAATAGCTCAATCTTACGTGTCATCCCAAACAGGCTCCAGAGTGTTTTTCTTGACATCAGTTCGTCTGCGGCCACTACGGGACTTGTCAGGGAGTAGATAAGCTCGCACATATGGATCAGAAAGACCATCTGAATCACAAGCCAGCAAGTTCCTGTACATCATCATAAAAAAACCCCATTAAATTCTGAAACTTTTACTTCATGGAATATTATGCAAATAATGACGAATTTTAAGTGACTTGCCCTGTAAGTAGCAACCCTCTAAAAGGTAACACCAGAAATTTCTATGTTTTTTTGGTACAACATGTTTTTTCTCTTCACTAACCTTGCTTGGTGAACAATGACCTCCAGCTTACTCCCCTGGTTGTTGTATCGTGTGGTAAGGCGAATGTCGCCAGACACTGTCCTGTTTAGATAACAAAAATGACAAAGTTCTGATAGAGAAAATTAATTTCAAGGAGACCAAACACCTTCACTTCTCATCACTAATACAGTGCAGCTTAATTTCCACAAGCACCAAGACTGACCTTTGAACTTTTTGGGCTGGTTTTCTTCGTCTGACAGTGCTATCCTCGCTAGGAGCCAAACAAAAGCAGAAAAAAATGCAGCGTTTTAGGGGACCGTTATCTGATGCAAGGCTGTGAGGGTTGAGGCATGCAGAGGAAGGGAAGTAGTTAAATGAAAGGTTAGTGAAAGTAGTCAGCGTGAAGTCCGTTACACTCTATCAAGAGAAAATTAGTGTAGTTAGTAGAGTTTAAGCTTATTACTTCTGTTAGCTTAAATGTGTTAAGTTCACAATTATTAAACAAATAAACATTAAATTTAAGTTTAAGCCAGAAAGTGAAAGTGAAAGTGAAAGTGAGAAGCAGTCCTTTAGTTAATGAAGCCTTTGCATTATATGATTACTTTACACGATAGCTTTTGCCTTATTTACCAGTGCATCAGTTTATTAGTTATTTAATTATTACATTAGTGTCTATTTATTCATTCAATTATCTCAGTTTATTTACTTGTTTATTCACATTCTAGACAACTGCAAAGCTCTGCACGAAAGTACTGAGGAGGCTGGAGAAAAGGAAATCTGTAATAATGCATGATCAGTAACAATATTGGTTTTTATTAGTTACAATACCCGTGTTTAGAGAATATTAGTAACAGGTTCACACAGTAGTGCTCAAATAAGTATTTTAAATTTTTATCAAGGCCTTTAAAACATACAAGGAATTACATTGTAACATTAAAAATATTGGTAAAAGCCCTGGTTTAGGCAGATCTGCCTTGAATTAGTCAGGAACTTGAAATATCGTTCAAAGACACAATTCTCAGACAGCTTATTAATCAATTTGTTAACTATTTGGCCCAGAGTGTATTGAATTTTGCTGTGTGCAATCATGATTTGAAGGTAAGCACTTAAGTGATGAGTTACCTTTGCTTACTTCCTGGGATTTCACTCACACCACCACCCTGCAACTCATCAGCACCAATTATGTCAGGTGCTTCTGCTTCATCCTCCTCTTCCTCATCTGAGGTGTCATCATCCCTTGTAAACAAGGCCTGTAAAATACAAATGAGGGAATTAAGGACATCAAACAGGAAAAAAAATATGGTGTTGGACGTTACTGGTACACAACTTCAGTTTAATTCAAACTGTAACTCCTTGAATGGAGGGGGACAATAGAAGAGTAATGAGTCTTGCCTAAGACCAAACAACAGTTCATATACTTTAATTTTCTGGGTGTGCCAAATCTTTTGAAGTTACTTTGAGAGCCAAGTTAAATGGTTTGTGTCACTATAGAAAATAGAAATAGAACAGCAAACATACAAATGTCACCAACCACAGGAATCAAGGAGTAGGAGACAAACTTAACAATGGCGTGCACTGCATGTCACTTATAAAGGATACTGACAGATGTGGGTCATAACTTCGTAGATTGACCAATAGAATTACTTTGTCGCCAGAGTCCAAGGCTTCAGAAATGCTGTATAAAATCACTGCAGTCTCTCTTTTCACCCATCTTCTGATGCCCACACTACTTGTGGTTTGCAGCTTTGCATTTCAAGCTCGCACGCTCATGACTGTACACTTCTGTTCCGTTCTTCTTTGCGTTCTTCCAAGCGGATTTGTGAGAAAAAGGGAGACTGCTCACAGTCTATGTCAAGACTGGTCTGTTGAAACTGATTGCTCAAATTTAAACGCCAATAACAGCCAAAGCTCAGACATTAGTCCTTTGGAAGGATTTGGGATACAGGTTCTCTAGAAAATTTACCTTTAGCATAAACTTGCAGGTCAAAGTGCTGTTATGGCCAGATTCCTTCAGAGGGAAGGGTTGTTCAATTGTCATATTCTCACTCTTGAGAAGCTGAGTCAGTGGGAATTCCAGTTTGCCAATAGTTTTCTCCTTCCCTCCATCAATAATCTGTCAAAGAGAAGAGGAGAAACAGGTAAATATACTGCAGTAATAATCTGGGTTTTCACTCATGAGACAACATTTTGACTTCTTGCCCATCAATTTAGTTCACTGACTAACATTGCTACAACTTAATAAATAAACTAAAATGCGACTGTATTATTTAACTGCCTTCTAACATTTCTTAAGATGGCTGTTGATTTCCTTTCTTGATATCTCTTCAGAGATGTGTGTACCTAATTGTTCTGGGGCCAGATTCACGAAGGCCTAGTATATTAAGATGACTTATAAATATGTGCAAGTATTGTTCGAAATATACAAAAGCCTAAGTATAATTACTAAGAAACAATGCTTAGGAAGCATCTTAACTTGGGAGAGCTTCGTAAATTGAGCCCCTGGACTGAATATCCAGTGGAAGCTACACTGTTCTGATTTATTAGCAAATACAACAGTATGCAATTTAAATTATCACAGTACACAAATTATGAAATTGTCAAGAGAGGGCACTATAACTGTTCAACTCCAAATTATGTACAATTTGGTAACAAATCTTACTGGTATTGCTTAAAAAATAATGTTTTTAGAACACATACATGTACATATTGACAACAACTTCTCCTTTCAAAAGTGCTCACTTTTTTTTTTATTTACTTTTTCATTGGGAATCTAGAGAGAGAATTACAAAGTGTACATACCTCAATATCCAGCTCCTGATATTTTGGATCATGGATCATGAAGCGGAATGGTTCTTCCCACACAGGGCTATTAGAATCCTGAATGGTCTAAAACAACAAAAACAGTTACTATCAAACACTATGACCATATATCTGCATTACACCACAATATATTTGATAGAAAATACTCTGAGAGCACATGCATGCACCAAAAGCTGTTCCCTCTCTCATAACTATTGCATGAGCTGTTTCCATACGGATTCAATTTGATGACATTTTTCAAAAGAATGGAAAACACATTTTCATGTCCCCATCAAGTTATGAAAATACTTGCATCTTTTCTGATTCTCCCAAACTTCAGATCAGGTACCAAAAGCTCAACAGAAACACAGGGAATGGTCTCTGTTGTCCAAAACAGTATCCCTTAGCTCAAAACCACAGTTTATTGTAATTTATACAGACAGAGTAACAAGTAAAGAATATTAAGCGATACCTTGCTCTGGAGAGTAATATTTCCAACGGTAAGTTTGCAGAATGGACTTGTTGTTCCGCGTGCAGGATTTGTGATCTGAAAATCAAAAGAGAGGAATATATCTTGAAGATCAAGAACTAACTCGCACATGGAAAATGCCGTCAAAAATTTTGATTGCACCTGTTTTCTAAGGTCAGTTATTAGAAACATGCTTGCACACTTACAGGAAGATTCTTGGCAGAATCCAGCTTCACAAACAAGACTGCTGTAGCTAACATCTCCTCTCCCAGTACGGCTTGCTCAGGCTGTGTCACAAACAAACAAACAAACAAACAAAGAGGAAATTAAGTATGCTCAAAGCTGAAGCTCTTCTTGCAACTATTCTCATATTTTATCAGCTCCCCTGGATATGGTTATCTATCCTAGCTGCCCCTAAACTAAGCTGTTGAAATACCACATAAAATTCTGCATTAAAAGTTCCCAAAGTAACCACTCCCATAAGCAACTTTAATCATCTTTGGGACCCTTGAGACACTGATTGCAATCAGACAACACAACAACAACAAATAAGCACTGACAAGCCCACTGTTACAACTGACTTTCTCTCAAAATTTGGCAAGCCACCAGCTTTACTTTTGACTAGTTTTCCCACATTGGTTTCTTCAACTGTTCTAACATGAATTTATGCCCACTTACTGGTGACAGGTCCTCAGGTTTAGGAGTCAATGTGAACCAAGTACATCGCAGGTTGATCTGACCACTTTCAACATTCTCGAGTGGAAGCCACTGTATTGTAAATTAACAAAGTTTTAGTTCCTTGTTTTAATACAGATAAATTCAAACAGCATATAAATGATCACTGGTTCAAAAACAACAGAGTCCTATCAAATGATTCCAAACTGACCAGATCAACATTGCCTTGTTGGACTATAGTAGCAATGTCAGCTTCAACACTACAAAATAATAAAAACGAATTAATCAGTAAGAAAACAGGAAATTATGTACAGCTGTAGTCAGTTACTTTATGCTGATAGTATTCACCATCACTGACTTTTCTAATGATGTGGCCATGGAATTCATTTTCTAATTACATGCCATGAACTTCTGTTTTACAGCCTAATATTTTTCCTATACCCGAAGGTGGCACCTCCCAGGTGACAGTACCAGGATACACAAGAGTCAGTACCAGGGATCCAGATAAGTTTTCAAGGCAGGGTATCAACAGGGAATTCCAACAAGTCAATTCCCACTGCTCCCACCAAATCATTATAATTTTGTTTATTAATTGGTCAGGTCATGTACATGTCGCTGATCTTGCAGGGTTTTTGCCCTGAGACCCGTCACTTCTCTGGAACACTGCAGTACAATTACACAACGTTCTTTTCCTTCTGTCTGCTCTCCTATGAGAGTCCTCAACTTTTCTGACAAATATCCACGATCTCCATTGTGCCAAGATTCATTAACTTTATAATCCAATGTCAATTAAGACAGTTTTGTATGAAAGAACATGACACCAAGATACTGCCAGTATTAGAATGTAATTCTTGATCCAGAGAGCAACACAACTTTGGAAAAACACTCTAAATAGAATAAAACTAAAACAATGGTACAAGTATAGAACGTGATAACTTACGTTCCAAGGGACTCATCATCAGATGCCTTGTCTTCATCAAAGACACTAATCTTTATTTTCTGGCCATGAGAGTTATCAACAAAAGCCTGTGCAAATTAAGAATAATACAACGGTATTCATAAATCAACATCAGGCATTTGCACAAAACGTGGTGCAATAACTTTCAGTAATCAGCTGTCTGGGTAAACATTAACAGTTACAATACCTCAAATACTTCATTCCAGACTGGGTTCAGTGTGCTGTCCTTTGTCTGTGTGCGGAAATTCTTGGCTCCCACTAAAAAAAAAGAAAATAATGAATGATAAAATAAAATTCAACTGATATCTAAATAGTTGCTGCTTAAGATGATAATGCTATTAAATATTTTATGGAAAGAAGAATGTCAACATCTACAAATAAAGGAAGGTGGTAATGAGAGAGAGCAGTCAGACATACCTCGGAGTATGGCATATGGATCAGAAGAGCCTTTCTTAAAAACGCCAATATCCTTCTTGACCAGATCTTTAGCCTCCAAAACTTCAATTCGAAGAACTCCCTAACAAATGGAAATAAAGTCCACAGCAAAATAAAGAACAATGGATTTAACCTTTCTTCATGTTCTCCTGAATTCATTTCTCTTTTCCTTTTTCTGCACATAACCATAACTTTTCTCCAGGAAAGTTGATTGATTTTCAAAGATGGGAGAAATGAATCTTAAAGAGTGTTGCTAAACATCCAAACGGAGCAGAACTTGTAAGTTTGACATAAGACACTAGACACAACAGAACTTACGTCAGGCAAGGGGTATTTGAGTTCATAAGGATCAACATTGGTCAGAGGAACCGTGATCCTGTTAGGAAGAACCACAAATCCAGCAACGACATCATCGATTACTCCACGGATAATGTCACTGAAAAAAAACAACAAAACAAAACGATAATTAATATTATTCATTTTGAACCATATATTCCGGAGAAGTACGTCTATGGCCCAGCCACAGCTACATACATGTACAGTAGGCTCTCACTAACTACCACTATACAGCCCATCACTAGAAGAATTGACAGTTTCCGTGCTCCAAGTGTTGTTTTCTCCTAATCTCTCAAATGAGATACAAGTCCATCACAGGTTCAACTGTATGCCAAAACAGTTCAAGCTGGCACTGTGAAACATCATTATTAACCAAACATTGCATTTCAATTACACAGATTTTACTCTTATTGTCCCAAGGGCGGACAAGTAATAGTAATCAACTTTTCTTAATCTTCTGGTCCGGGTTGTTCAAAGCTGCGTTAAGATAACCCAGGGTTACTGCGAAATTCAAATTCAGATATGAAAGCTTTAAAAGCAAATTCGTTTTAACTCTTTTTGTCTACAATTTGATGGTTGGATGCTCTAAAAAGAACAGAGAAAATTATCAGAGAAAATGCTCTTGAACAAAACAAAATGAGGCCCAGATTGAAATTTAACCCCCGGTTAGAGGAAGTCAACCTTCGACTAACTGAACCTGAAGTGTACAGTAGCTCCAAACCAGTCAGCATCAGGTTTTATATTTTTAATTTTAATGATTGAAATAATAAAAACAATTTCAAGTGCCAAGTTTTGTTTATTCATTTTGAAACTAGAAAGACATATGCTAGGGATTGGCTTCATGGCCCCTGACAGATTAAATCAAACATACCTTAGACCTGGGATATCAAGAATATTTGCCAAATTGGTTAAATCGAAGTCTATGTCCTGGTGAAAAAACATTGAAATCAACATATTGCAATAAACAATACTACTTGTGTAGATAATCAGTACTTTCCATTCTCCTCTTGCTCCTGTTATGAGCTCTCTCTCGGCCATCCCAAAATCACAACTTTCCCAACCAGTTTTGGATTACCAGGAGATTCTAGGTTTTGAGATCAGGTGTGGTATTTTTAGCTCAAAACTTGCAACAGTCAAGTAGGCTGTTTGCTTATAAACTCTGCTAGTTTGGATCGTCATCATAAACGTTCGTCCCTAGACAATGTTACACAAGCTGATCAAAAATACATGTATGCCATTTTCACAGTTTCATTTCCTCTTCAGTTTCAGGAAAGAGTAACAGGAATCCCTGATTTGAATTTGTTGAACTCTTACAGTGTACGAACAACTTACCGGTCTGTTGAGGAAGAAAACAGAGACTCCACCTACAAGAGGAGCTGCCGGAATAAGGGGGCGCAGGATCACACGCAGGCTTCCACGAATCTGCACAAGACAAAAAGATGCAATCAGTTTCCAAAAGTCTCCAATGTTTTCCGACTTTCCCCTAATAAGATACAATTTCCCTGACCAATAACTGCTTAATGTCAGATATAGTGGTTGCCTCCAGCCTCCTCTTACAGTAATCTCTTCACCACATCCCTTCGTTTTCCATTGTTTAGATCACAGTGACCTGAAATGATTCTTCCACCCTTCGGTGGTATTAAACCAATGGTGTTATAACTTCACTCTTCCCAGTCTTTCCTTCAAAAAGTCAGTTTTTCCTGACTCAAAATACAATTCCCTAACTTTTCCTGACCTTGAAGAATCCCCCCCGCCCAGTTCTTGACATGTAGCAACCATGTGAACAAGATGTGAAATGCATGGCACTCAGCTACTGTCTTACCTGGAGATCCTCAATGCCTACAGCAATCCCTTTGACAGCCAGCTTAAAGTCTGCATCACCAGCGTAACTATGGTGAACACAACACACAAAGAAAATGATCACTTCTGAAGTTTTCAGCATTTGATATTCATCATCATGAGAGATGAAACTATCACCATCTTTAGGGAAAAAACAGCTGGGGTGTTAATAATTTCTAAACCTTAGCAGTCAGATGAGCCATACTCACATCAAATCAATGTCCATGATGATCTCATTACGGTCGACATTATGGGTGTACGTCTTGATTCCACCTATACGAGGAGGCTGCAGAAGAAAAGAACATGTTGTATATATAATAGGTTAATGCAACCTTCATGGAGTGGTCAACAGAGGAGTTGTCATGCTTTGTGTTTGTTCTCTCTGCTCTCTGGCAATTTCGAACTCCACTTAACTCACTGTTTGCATTATGGTAGGGCTAGTTGAAACAAAAAGCATCAGAGAGTTGTCTAATAGTTGCAAAAATTCTGCATCTTTACCGTTCCCCTATAAACATATTGACTATAGAAGTAGCATTTTGAATAACCCTCAGAGTTTTGGGCTTAAGAATGTACAGAGTGTGTGTTTGACTTACCACTTCACCAAGAGAGATTTCTTCAAAGTGGATGGAGCTGAGGAAGCCTGGCACATTCTTTTGAATCTCTGGTTCAACTTGTTCTTTTAAAATCTTCACAACCATGTCATTGATGTATGGCCATAGTTGAACCAGCATCTGAGGTTGGAAGAGACATTGGTACAGTAAGTAAAGTGAACATAACTGGCTCATAGCTCTCAGCTCTTGACTCTAGTTTCTGTCACAAGCAGCAGTTGAATATTTCTTCCTGGGAGAGGTACTCTTACAAAAATTGGGTGGGTGTGTGTGGCCAGCTTTCCAAAACCCTTACCCCATTAAAGACCAAAATCTGTGATTTTCCCTACCCTATTAATGACCAGACAATTATTAACTCCATGAAAACCAGATCCTTAAATCAATACCCTGTTTCAGACCTGTCTTATAATCAGACCTTCTGACAGGGTGTGTTAAAAAAAAAAAACAACAACAGAAATTACACAAAATTTTGAGGCTTTTTCAAAAGCACATCATCTTGAAACAATGTGTGGATCACATGGACTTTTTCCAGATAAAGTGTTAACTAATGGTATATTTTGTTAAAATTGTCCGGTTTTTTGTGAATTATGTGATTTTTCATGAATTGTGTGATCTGATACGATCTGAGGCTGATTGTGCGAAATTGCACCATCATGTAATATCAGAAGGCTTAATTAGTTACCTAATTCAGACCGCTGCTAAAGGCATTGTGAAGGGCTTTTGTTGATGGCCTTATGGCTAAATTATGATGAAAAAGTCCCTTCTCCTAAAATATATACCCAATGCAAGAGTAGAGTGCAAAAACCATACCCTATTTATGACCAAAAATGGCTGGAAAAAACCATTCCCTTTCAGGCTGCACGTAACTGTATAGCCCATATAAGGGAGTACCCCTAGGATTTCTACTCCCCCTGGATGGAATGCTAATCAATCACAGGTTACTTCCCAGCATTTTTCAGTTGTCCCAACAGTTTTCTGCTACCCACCTGAGTAGGGAGAGGCATGAAGGAACATATACTAAAAGATTTCAACACTATGCCTTCACAGGAAATATTAAATGTATGTGTAATCAATCTACCAACTGATCAAAACTAGAAGTTTACCTTATTGAGCCACTCCGCTCTCTCTATATCGGGAAAGAAAACCTGGAAGAATAACAAACGGATTTATTTTTTCATGGTGACTGTATATTTGAGGGAATGTCAGTCAAAAGGGATAATCTTCTGTTATATGTTTCTTTGCAAAAGAGTTTCATGACATATTTGTCTTCGACTGTGTAAAAAAAAAAAACACAGATAAAGACACAGAATGACAAGATGACAGAAGTACACAACTCTGTATTCTTATTGAGTTTTTGAGTGCATGGCAGCTGCAATTAAATGTTAAAATACCAAGATCTCAGAGTCTAGCCTTGTATTGGACACTTGCCATCTAATGTGACAACCGTCAGTTAATTGTAAGCGTCGTATTTAAATAAACCGTTTTTAATGTAAAATGTAAAGTATCAGCTGCATGCAGAAAAATACCACAAACACACAGCTAGCCAACGAGGGAACTACACTGTAAATGATTTCAAAATGCTGCCCCAAGCAATTTATGGAAGCATTTAATTTTACTTTCCAACACCTTAACACCAGGAAACATAAGCTCTCTTTTCTGAGTTCACATAAGAGCGATGATGTTGTAAGACTTAACTTGAAGGGAAAAACAACCAAAGGGTTTATCAATATGATAATGTTACCACATTAACTCTGAATTTAATATTCAAAGTTATAAAATATTACGCCAGTATGTATCTTGTTACTAATATCATTAACTTTTTAATTTTCTTGGGTAAGAAAAAATATATAAATTTTGTAGAATGACAGACAACATGGTGTCTCTTAGGAAAACGTTAACAGACACTGGTATTTATTAGCCCCCAAGACATAATCATCCCAGATTTAAATATTTTATGACCCCTTGTTGTTTAAAGACTTTACCAAACGTCGATTAATACTAAGCAAGTTTTAGAAAGTTTCCATAGTAATTTGTCGGGACTTGTAGGATTTTAACGGTTATTTTAACGGAATATCTGAGTTACACTTCTGCCGTATTTTCCAACCAAAGAAACAAACTATGGGGCTTATCGCCATTGAATACAAAGCGTGATCAGTGAATAGATGCAGATGAAATACTTCGACATGTTTATAATATCCCATTAAGTGACTGTTCCTAAGTGTCGCTATTATCATCTCAAAGCTTTCATGTTGTTTTCTGACTATGCCTGTGCTAAGTTCTAAATCGATGGCTTTTAGGAAAGGATAACCTATATAAATTGACCGTAAACAAATTCTGTACGAACTTTCGAGAGAGTACGTCTGCGAACCACGCCTAAATGAAATTATGGTTTTCCAGCATAAACTTTTAAGTTCTAGTCGAATGCAACTTAACAAATTTTGCCCAGCTAGAAAGTATTCAAACAAATGCTTGGCAAATAATCTATTAAAGTTCGCTTTTAAAACATAAGGGTTAAGCTTAACTGAAGAGAAAATTCAAACAAAGAATTTCCTGACAGGAGCTAACTTATCCAATTCATGTATTAGCTCGCTTGTTCGCGATTCCGAGACAAAACATTCAAAAATTGCAAGCCTCAGGTCTGAGAGAAAGAAACTATATTTGTCTTGTGAACATTAAGTTCTTGTTCTCTCAAGAACTGCGCTTGAATTTAGAACTGCAAACACGGCAAAGTTTGATTAAGCTACAACGCGAATTCTACATTTCCTTACCCAAGATGGCAGATCTTCCATTCGCGCCTCTACAACTTCGTGTTCACGTTCTGTAGCTTCTCTAAACGCTTCCCTCCTAGTCTTTCGTTCATCTTGATTCATACGCCATAAAACGTAGACGAAAAACCCACAAATGAGCCAGACATAACTCAACCCGAGCCAACCCATAAACCAAATCAACAACGCGCCACCGACTAGCCTCAGATACTTGATCACAAAGTTTAAAATTGCCAGCTCTGTCTTCTTTGCTGTTTTCTTCTGTTCATCTTGTGGAGGAGCCGTGGTGGCCGTCTCTTCCCCGGGTTTTGCCTGCTTTTCAGCGGGATTATCTTGCTTCTGCTCCTCTATCGGCGTCGCCATCTGCGAATCGACTCCGAGCAAGAGCTTACCTCGGTTTGAGCTCGCTGTTGCACCAGAACCCAGTTCAATAGATCGGAAACGCTTTCAAATGCTAATCATGTGAGTGAGACGTGTCAATAGAACAATGGGACGTCGGAACACGACTTTTCGCGGGTGAAAAGGCTACGACTGGAAAAGCGCCTCTTCTTGTACTCGTGACACCTGCTTTTAGCGAGAAAACTGTCTATGGATCTGTACGCCTGGCCAGTGGCCAATAAATATTATAAACACACGCAGTGACAACACGCACGCTCCGTTGGTTTACTATTTTCGCCCAATAGACACGTTGTTTATCGAAATGTTAAGGTACACACCCAGAATGCAGGTCTCAGCTTGGGATCAACAAGCCTGAGTAAGCAAAAGCCAAAAGATTCCCCGCTCAAAACTCTTGTTCAATTTTCAATGTCGCCGAAGAACTTTTCTGTTTGTGCACCTGCTTAACCCTTTGTTTCCGTCAAGTATTTAATGTGAAAGAAATAAACTGAGTTATCAAACTGGAAACAATGCCAATTTTTGCGGTATTATAGTCTACCTGACTGGAAAGAACTGAGAATGGGCATAAAGGTATTAATATGTTATTTTCTTGGCAAGATCCCATCAATTCACTGAAAAGAGTAAAGCTTAGTTTAACTGCATATCCCGCAGCCAGCGATTGTCATCGGTTTAATAAACTGAGAATAAATTACATCAAATGGATTTGCCGTTTTTTAGAAATAATTATTGATCAGCTAGGGTTCTGTCATTTTAGCTACCATTTAATTTATCCTCGATTCTGGTCTTAATTTTAGGCAGACTTGGTAGTCCATCAAACGTAGGTGCTTGATAATTCGTGTTATTTTCTCTCAGGCTGACAACAGCTGCAGACAGAGCTGGCTCAAAACTGACCAATGAGCGACGGTCACCATCGAGCCTTTACAAAAGCACGTGTAAAAGATAATGTGAATAAAGCAAAGACGAAAAAAAATCGAAGAAACGAATTCAACGCCAAAACCAAAACATAACAGTTCTAGTAATATTAACGATGTGGCTGGCTGTGCTTCCTATTTCTTGGTAATTAAGAAGCCCCTGAGAAATAGCCAACAGGTCCAGTGTCTCTTGACAGTTGAGATTTTGATCCATATATTGTTTGTGGTACTGATTTCTTCCGTCTCTCTTTGAATCGTGTCTGAAAGTCAACTCAAATAGCCCATTGTAGCTCAATAGTAAACTGCATTAACAATTATAATCATGGGGCTTGACTGCTTGAAGAACCCCGGGGCGGGGACATTCGTCCTCGTATTTAGTATTATAAATTTAGGATTATTTAGGGTTACAGGACAGAACGTTAATGTTTTTACCTCCCTCCCTCCCTAAACATATCTTTTAAGGCTGCACGCAATGAAACTAAAAAGAAAGCACCATAATCGATCTGGTAAAAAATCTTTAAAATTTCAGTCTTATTTGCACAGGTAATATTTGTGTTGCGTCACATTTGAATGGTATATTTTTCGGGGATCAGTAGACCTTGAGCCAATCCCAGATTAGTTTCCTCTTGGGAATCGCCCCAGGCTCCAGTTGACGTTTGGCAAACTGGCACAAATGGTGCACTGCCGTAGTGTGCGGGGTGGCGGTGAGGCGAGGTTATCAAGGGGCATCGGGTGATAAGAGTAAAACCTGCTTGAGGACAAGGGACGATTACTTAGGCTCCTGACAGCGATGCAATTTTTGCATATAGAAAGAAAACCGTTTCAAAGCAAGAAGTAAAACAACAGAACAAGAGCACATTATAGCGATTAACCAAAATAAATCATCTCAGAATATTTGTCATCTGTATCCAAACAGGTTACAATTCAACGTGTCAGAAAATGCCAGTCCCTCTAATGAAGAAATTGGTTTACTACTACAGGTCGTAATTTCGCTGATCGTCACTGACTGATTTTTGCGGATTTGTGATTTATCTTGACATCAAAAATCCTCGGAAAAATTTATCTTCCCGCAATAATTCTATAAAACGCAATAGAAGTGACTGAACGTGAATTGTTCCTGCGCTTCTTGCATGGAACAGAAGCTGGTGTAAAAATGCTTCCATACCCATCTCACGGCCTTACTAAATCCAGCTATTGACCAAACAGTTTTCATTTTTGTGTGTAGTGGACAATTTTGGCAATTTCCCAGGCCCCAAGGCTTGGGGACAAAGGCAAAACAAAAGAAGTGAATCACGTGGATCGAGATTGAGAGATGAGAGGATTAACCTCGGATTTTTCCCGTAGAGAACTGAGAGGGCAATTAAACTACCTTTACACAGTTAAGAGTCCGTTTTCATCAGGTGTGCTAATTGTACATAAAACCCAATAAAGTGCGTTTGCGTTGACGGTGATTTCATTTGAGTCGACAGTTTGGATTACACATGATCTCTTAAGGTCCAATTAAATTTCACCAGTCTACTGAAATCCCTTTTTCGTGCATGATTAAGATGCACATTAAACAACTAAGTGATAATTTAAAGGAAATTAATAAGTAAACTAAAGATGATATCTCTATATAGTTGTATAAAGAGTAACTAAGTTGTAAAACTTCGAATAACTGTAAAGATGTGAGGAGACTGAAGGCCAGAAACTGACTCAAAGTGGTTTGTTAAAATTGCACACTTTGCACTAACCGTATTGTTGGGTTTAAGTGGTGAAGCATCAGGGATGAAAGATGAAACTATCAATAAAGATACAAGGGTGAAATGGCAGCGATCTGGACCGATCATGTTGAATGCAAAGCTCCGCTCAAACAATGAATGAAACAGCACCTAAATTCACTTTCATTATGCAAAGGGAACTTCTGTGTAAACAACGTGGTTTAAAATTTCTTTTAGTTCTGCTACAACCAGTAACGAATTGACAGGTAGGTATTTGATTCCAGATAAAGGAAAGCTTATTAGGTGAATGAAAACAAAGAAATTAGGCATTCAAGTTCCAAATTATCCCCCCAAATGATACACTGTAAACAACAACTGCAACAAAAGCTCAATAACCGAACTACTTTTATCCAGTTCGGAACTTTGCAGTGATGGTTAGAGTCGATTCGTTGTTACGAAACTACAGATTCTTTTGTGTTTGACGCAAATTAAGCAGAATTAAGGTAAGCAGAAACTGAACTGAAAAAACAACAAAATAACAAGATAATGCTTACAGAATTTGAATAAAGTAAATACGTGTATTTTGTAAGGAACTCGGTGAAAATTGTTTTGTTAGCAACCGAAGCTGTGTAAATGTTATGCAATGTGTCGTGAAAGAGATTGAGTTGAAACAAATTTGTTGCAATGGCCATGCCGCCATGGGGAGGTCAGTTTAATTTGAAAGCAAATAGCGATTTGTGGAGCCTTAAAAAATCAAAAGAAACGGCCCAGCTTTTTCCCATTATTGTACACAGAAAATCAAACAGGGATTTGCAAATTTAAAAGTCACTTATTAAAAGGGAGGCAAATGGAAGAAGGGGAACTTTATTTTGTCACTTACATTCAAAATTTTGATATTTGAACTTTATAAATAAAACCATTTATATTTGAATCAAAGCCAC